ACAGCCCATCCTCTTTGTCGGGTTTTGACTTGGCTTTTATCTGTTCCTCTGGAGAGAATGTCAGCTATTTGAGGGGCAGGAGCAGGTCTGCCCAGGGCCGAATCCCTGGAACAGGCCGGGGCCAGCACAGAGCTGTGGGAGAACATCGACACATGCGGGGTGGGTGGCCTTTCCGCCTTGCCCCCGGCCTGGCCAGCAGGCTCTCCGTGGGGTGGGCCACTCCCCACCCCACCCGGTGATGTGCATCCTGGACAGGAGCCTCTGAGCCTGGTTCCAGAGGCACGGCCTCCCTTCCCAGCACCCACGCCCTTACTCAGGTCCACTCCATGCTGCTTTCCCTGAGGTCACGGCTGCTGAAGCCCAAGCACACCAACGCTGTGCCGCAACAGGAAACTGAGAGAGGAAATCAGAATCTGGATTCTCAGGCTGCCTCGAAAAGGATGGAGTGACTTGATCCTTATCCACCAGCACGGGCGCGGGGGCAGGGGCAGAGGCAGAGGGAAAAACAGTCTCCCTGATGACCAGGGAGCCCGACGCAGGACTCGATCCCAGGACCCTGAGATCGAACGTGAGCCAAAGGCAGACACTTCACCGACTGAGCCCCCCAGGTGCCCCTGTACCCTGCTTATCCTAACAATATGCCCTGGCTCTCATCCCTGGTGGTGGCCCCGTGGCAGCTTGCTCAGGTACCCGCCACTGAAGTCAGCCGCCAGGACCCACAGTGCACACGTAATAGTTTATCGGTTATTCACACACGATGCCTTCCAGGCTGGCTCCAGTTTTTTTCTATTACAAACTATGCTCCAATTAGTAGCCTTGTTTATTCTTGTTTTTTTTTTTCCCCTCATTTTTCCCAGCATTTTGCCAGTTTTCCCAATTCACCTTTGGGATAAATTCCTATTTGGCATTAGTTGGGCCAAAGGATAAACGTCCACATGGTTGCACTGGATATTGTCACTCTCTAGTAGCAATATAGGAGAGTCTTGCCAACAAGGTAAGTTCTCAAACGATGGGGTTTTATCGCCAGACTGGTCAGGAGAGACCTCAGTGGATATCTTTTTTTATTTTTTTAGATCTTATTTATTTATTCATGAGAGGCAGAGAGAGAGAGAGAGAGAGAGAGAGAGGTAGACACAGAGGCAGAGGGAGAAGCAGGCTCCATGCAGGGGGCCCAATGTGGGACTCGATCCTGGGATCCCGGGGTCATGCCCTGGGCCGAAGGCAGGCACTCAGCCGCTGAGCCACCCAGGTGGATATCTGCCCGTACACCTGAGGGAGGGAAGAGCCAGCAGGACAGGCCACGCAGGTCCAAGAGCGTGGGCCTTGTGGTGTGAGGGCCTGGCATGGGCCAGGAGAGCCATGCAGTTGGAAGTGAGTGGGGAGAGCACCAGGGCCAGGCCAGAGGCAAGGCAGGGCTTGGTCCCAGAACAGGACCTTGGAGACTCAGAACAGCCACTGGGCTGCTGGCAGAGGCCAGGCGCCCCCTGATGTAGGTCCTGCGGAGCAGCTCATTGGCAGCTCCATTCAGCATAGACTGGGGGGGGGGGGGGCGGCTGGGAGGGGTGGGAACCAACCCAGGAAGGACAGGTGGGGGTTGGCCAGGGCAGCAGCTGCAGAGTCTGAGAGCCATGGTTGGGTTGTGGCGTGCTTGATAGAGCCCACAGGAGTTCCCCAGGAACTGGATCTGAGGAAACAGAGGAATGAGGAACGAGTCCAAAAGTTTGTGCCCCAGTAACAGAAAAGATGGAGCGGCTCTTGGCTGAGATGAGGACGATGGAAGGAAGCGGGTCACCTCAGAGGCCCTGAACCTGGGGGGAATGATGTCTGCTGCTCACTGGAGGGCAGCCAGCATCTGGACCAGGCTCAAAACCATGGGTGGAGCGACCACCGGCCAGGAGAAGAGCCTCAGGGAGAGGACAGGAGGAGAGAGGACGGCAGAGGGGCTGGAAGGTGCCAGTCGTGGGGCAGCGCAGATGAAGAGCGGGCCATGGGGAAAGTATTTCAGGGGACAGCAGCACCGGGGGGTCATGGAGATGACAAAGGCCCCCTGGACAGAGCCCCATAGGGTCTTGGGTGCCTGGACCAGGGCGTTTTGTTGTAGTAAGGGCAGGGCAGAGGCCTGAGGGCTTGAAAGAGAAGTTGGAGAGGCTGAGTGTAGACGGCTCTTCCGAGGAGTCCTGCTGCGAAGACAAGCACAGAAGCCCAGCATGAGGAGAGCAAGTCCTGCTCCGTTCTGTGAAGACGGGCAGCCTCGCCCTGAGTTTGTGAGTGAATGGAGTGATCCCACACCGAGGATGGCCCGTGGGAGGTGAGGAGGAGCAGCAGGTGGGTGCAAAGGACAGGCCAGTGCCCCGGGGGGCAGGTGGCCCAGGAGTGAGGACAGCCCCCTCTCCGGGGAGGAGGGAGCGGTGGGCTGGGAGGGGTGCAGTCTCCTCTCACTGCTTGTGCCATGGCTTCTGGTTTCTTCTTTCTTTCCTGCTCTATTGAGATGTAACTGCACATATGTAGCCGGCACACTTCAGTGAGTTTTGCCCCACGTATACACCCAAGAACTACCACTGCCACCCACACAGTTCCATCGTCCCAGCTTTCCTTGACGCCCTGGAATCACCCTGCCCTTGGGCTTTTGCTCTGAGTGAAGCTCCCGGAGGCTTTTGAGCAGAGGAGAGACATGGCTCGACTAGTGTGTTGTGCAAGTTACCACTCTGTGCTGAGGACAGACGTTAGGGGAGGAAGTGTCAAGGGAAGACGCGGATACCAGTCCGGAGGCCTTGCACGAATCCTGGGGCAGTCGATGGCGCTCGGTCCAGAGTGGGGGTGGCATGCTACAGCCAGATTCGGAGGGGTGTGCTGACGGCAGGCGGCTTGGAAGAAAGGACCCCAGCATCCTGGCTGAGCAGGCAGGATGGAGCCCTCCTTCGGTGGTGTGGGCGAGGGTGAGTAGTCGGCTTCCAGGAAGACCAGGAGTTGAGGTATCGGTATCAGAGCCTGCACTCCCTAAAGATATCCCAGCAGAGACATGGCCAGAGTTGCATTCGGGAGCCCAGGGTTCAAGGTCAAGGTTGGGGTGTTGTTGCTGACGAGGTCGGCACAGGTCACGGAGAGAGCAGGCAGGTCAATTGTCCTGTCTGCCCCCTTGGCCGGAGACCCTCGGCCCTGCCTCATGCATGCTCCTGGCTCTCCTCCATCTGCAGACGGACGGCTATGGTGTCAGAGGGCCATCACATGACTTAGTGGGGTTGCTGCCCTCTGTCCAGGGCCGTTCCTGGCCTGTTGTCCTCACCTCTGACAGCCAGGCCTCCGCTCCTTAGCTGCCATTTCACTGGAAAACAAAAGCAGCTGGATGAGATGCTGCCCAGGCCCCACTCCCTGCATCAGGGCCTTCCTCCCTCAGGGTGAAGGGCGTCCACAGCCCTCCTCCCCAGATTTGGTCCACAGTCCCGGATGAGGGCTTGGGCTCAGGCGGCCTTCCCTCCCTCCGGGGAGGTTGTCTGTTCCTGTACCCCATCAGTACCACTGAGGCTCTGGCCCAAACAGAAAACAGCTCTCTAGTCTCAGAAACCCATCCAAAGCAAAACACCTGTATCTACGCTCCTCCCTTGAGCCCACCATAATCCAGTGTTTCCCCCTGCAATGCATCCATACTGCACTGGCCAAGGTCCCAGAGGGTCCCGCTCCCCACGCCCTCTCAGCAGCTGACCACACATCACTCATCCCTAGGGATCCCCCTCCCCAGTCTGCTCAATCCGGGTCTTTCTTGCTGGATCTTCCTGGACTCACAGATTTCTCCACGTGGGCAGGGGGCTCAGCCTCCTGTCCCTCACTCACTCCTTGGACTAGCTCATCCACCTGCAAACACTGCAAACTCATCCTATGCTCCTGAGGCCCACAGCCTCACAGCAGCGCCCCTGGGAGTCTAGCGGACATTACAGCTGCACCCTGACCCCACTGTCGGGTACTCCTTCACCACCCCCAGATTGTCAGAGGCTGCCCACCCTTCCAGGTGTTCCCCAGCCATGCTTGCCCATCCTCAGGCTGCTCCCCCGGCAGTCCACACTCCTCCCCTCCGGGGCACTGCCGGTGCAGCACCAGGCTCTCCCCTGCACTGCATGGGTCCTCACAGACAAACACAGGGCAGCCAGAGGAGGCTGTAGAAGGCCAGCACCGTGCCATTCCCGCCCTGCTCAGAACGGCCAGGGACGTGTCCCTCTGATCTCACCTCCTCCCTCTCCGAGCTCCACGCCCTCTGGCTTCCATGCTGGCCTCTGGCAAGCATCCCTCAATCCCCCCGTTTGCAGCTCGGTGCTGGCAGGACCAATTGCCTGTGAACCCTACGTGTCCCTACTTGCAGGGCTCGTTCCCTCTGTGTCTCCATGGCTGGCCCCCTGTGCCCTCGCGTGCCCATCCGCCCTATCGTGGCCAACACTCCAGACATCCACTGCCTCCCCACCCAGCTTATGTGGCTCCCACATGACACCTCCCGTCAAGGTGTGGGCCCACGAACGGGTGCACGTCACGGTCACTACTTACAGCTGCAGAGCCGAGCTCGTGCAAGCGCGGACACCCAGGGTTGCGGGGTCAGCCCTGCTGCGCGCTGTCCTCTGCGTGCGGCGCCCTCGCTCCCGCCCGGTGCGCGGAGAGCGCTCGGTGCCGGGTCCCAGGAAGGACCGGGTCACGACAACGAGGCCGACGCCGCCACGGGAATGCCCGGTCCCGGGCCGGGGCCAGCGCCGGCCGCCCGCCGGGTCCTGTGTCCCGGGGCAGCCCTCTCCCCGCCAGCGCCGGCGCCGCGCTCGCAGGCCCCGCCCCGTCCAGGCCCCGCCCCCGTCCAGGCCCCGCCCCCGCCGCGGGCCCCGCCCCCGGCCCCCTCTCGGCTCCAGATCCGTCGGCCGGGTCCTGCGCCAACGCGCCTGCGCCCTGTGACCCCGCCCCGGCCCCGCCCACCCCGGCCCCGCCCCCGGGCCCCGCCCCCTCCCGGCTGCCGGGTGGGAGCCGCTCCGCGCAGCGCGCATGCTCCGTGCGCGGCGCCCCCGACTCGCCGCTCGGCTCCGCTCGGGCATTTCCGCCTCTTTGTTTTAAACTCCGGACGGGTTTTTTTCTCCTGCTCCTGGGGGGACCCGGAGGCAGCGGCGCCCCCCCCCGGCGCTGCCCCGCGTGCGCCCCGCTCGCCGCAGCCGAGCCGGCAGGTCAGTGAGTCCGCGCCCCGCCCGGCCGGGCCCGCGCCGCCCGCTCCTCAGGCCGCGGCCTCGGCCCGTGCGCCCGCCCGGAAGGCTCCGCGCCCCGCCCGCCCCCGGCCCGGCCCGGCCCGGCCCGGCCCGGCCCCGCCTGCCCGCAGGCTCCGCGCGGGGACCCCCGGGGCGCGCCGGGTCGTCGCGGGGGCCGCGGGGCTCAGGGCAGGGCCGCGCTGGGGCATCCCGCGGGTCCGAGCCCGCCGGGTCACGAGGAGCCCCGAGCCCCGCTCGCGGGGGACGCAGCTCGGGCCGGCGGTGGCCCCGGGGCCGGGAGCGGGGGCCGGGAGCGGGGAGCCGGGGCAGGGAGCGGAGCGGGAGCCGGGGCCGGGGCAGGGCCGGGGCCGGGGCCGGGGCAGGGGCAGGGGCAGGGGCCGGGGCAGGGGCAGGGGCAGGGGCCGGGGCAGGGGCAGGGCAGGGCCGGGCCGGGCCGCGCCGCCCGAGGGCCACCCCGGCAGGCGGCTCCGCGGAGCGCGGGGGCGCAGGTAGGTCACCCGGGAGCCCCCGGAGGCCGGGCCGCGGCGGGGGAGGAGCCCGGCTCCCAGGGAGGCCAGGCCCGGCCGGGAGCGGACTCGGGGTCGGGACTCGCCAGCCAGGCGCGGGCTCCGGAGGTGCCTAAACGCCTCCAGTCTCCTCGGCCGGCCCCGCCTGCTGTGCGGCCGTGGGGGCGTCAGGACCCGGTCGCCGGAGCCCAGCTGCAGACCCTCGGAGGCCCCCGCCCTGCGCACCTGCCCTCGGGCCGCCCGGCCGGGCCCAGGGCGCACGTGGGGCGGGTCGGGACCCGTCCTGCCTCCGGGGATTCAGGTGGGGCTCCGGGCCTCAAGCCCCTCGGTGCTCGCGCCCCAGACCCAGAAAGCTGTCCCCCTACTCCAGGGCCACCTGCGGCCTTGGGCCTCGGCCTAGTGGACGTGCCTCCATCCCCTCCAGCCGCCCCAGCCCTCCTCGCTCCGTCGGAGGCCGTGTGGTTGTGTGGATACACCCTCGATCCTGAGCAAAACTCCTGGACGTGTTTTGCGTGTCCAGGAGGCTCCGGGCGGGTGCAGTGCAGCCAGGACTGTTGCAAGCCTAGGGCTGTGTTCGGGGGTGGGGGGGGGGCCTGGACAGTGCAGGAAAGTTGGCGCAGGCCGGCACACTTCTCAGGGGACCGGATCGGGCACCTTCTCCACTCCGGGAAAGGAAAATACTCAAGGGCCTAGCAATGGGGGTCTTTGCTTCTCTGAAACCCGTGAATGAGACTTTCACCTAAAACTTGCCCGTGTTTTCCTTTGATTTGAAAGTGCTGATGAAAAAGCAGGGTGCGGCATGTGCTGCTCTTTGATTGGGGAATGGCTCCAGAGTGTGTCCAGCGAGATGGTGCCCGAGGAGTCTGAGAGGATGAAAAGCCCAGGAGAGCAAGCAAGGGCCTTGCCCGGCTCAGCGCCCGGCCCTGGCTGCCTGGCGTGAGCTCAGCGGGCAGCACACAACGACTGAATGAAGAAGTGAGTGCGTGAATGAGTGAGTGCAAGGCAGGAGTACTGGTAGGAAGACCCACTTGTGCTAGGCTTGCAAACTTATCCAGAGGCTGGGCTGTAGGATGAGGTGCAGATCTGAAAGTGCGAGCTGTATGGACTCCCAAGAGAGACCCTTGAACTGCTCAGCTCAGTCTTTTACTTTGTGCCACAACTTCACCACTCGGTGACCTAGGAGAAAACCCGTTCCGATTTTCAGGTTGACGTTTCATAGGACCACATCTTAACCAAATGGGAGTCCCCAAATAGTCCAGCGTAGGAATTGTTATTTGTCAGGCGTAACCACACTGGGACCTTCTTACTCAACACTTCTGATTTTTTTTTCTTTGTACTTTTGCACCTTTTTAAGAACTTAATTTGTTTTGTGAAGTTTTGTTTTGTTGTTTTGTTTTGTGAAGTTTTGGAAGAGACTTGCCATACTTGGCATTCAGGTTTGGTGAAGCTCTTTATTTTCCTATCTTTGGATTTTTAAAGGTATGATAGTGCTGCATAGTTGCATTGTTTATATATTGCTGTCCAATAAATTGCCCCAAAACTTAGTGCTGTAAAACAACGTCCATTATTATCTTACAGTTTCTGTGGGTCAGGAATCCAGGCACAGCTTAGCTGACGAGCTCAGAGTGTCACAGGCCGGGGTAGCGGTGTCATATGAAGGTTTGACTGGGGATCTGCTTCTAGGCTTGCTCACTCAGCCATTGGGGCTCTTCATAGGGCGAGTCGGAGGGAGCCAGTGATAGGACAGGAGAGCAGGCAGGAAGGCCGGTCTGCGTGACCTAGTCTTGGCAGGGACATCCCATCCCTTCGGCCATATTCTCTTTGATAGAACCTGGTCGCTGGGCCCAGCCCTCACTTGAGATGTACTGGGAGTGGGGGTGAGCGTCACCGTGGCCGTCTTAACGCCTGTCATTATCAGGTTTCAGCTCATAGAGAGCCTGTACCTGAGAAATACCCCGTAATAAATTAGTAGAATTGTATATAGAGCAGTGTGTTAAATACAAGATTGCAGCAGCCCAGCTGTCTCTTTAATTGTGTAGGTTACCACACAATTCCTCTGAAGTCACCACAATCACTAGAACCCCCGGAACTTACCCAGGAGGGAAGATCAATTATAAATAAGGAAGATTCTTGGGCATTAACTTATAATTTAAAACACCTGTAGCAAACCAGGAGCAACCCTCCCCTTCACCTTGCAAATCAAATGGACAAAGTGCTGCGGAATTCTTTGATTGCTTCAAGTTCAATGATTTCACTGTTTCCACAGCATCATTTTATTCCTGCCCAAGATTTTGCTCCAGAAATTCTAAACTGACTTTTGTAAGAAGTTTTTAAGGAGTGAGACCCTGAGATGTTTTGAGTATTCGACCCTTGTAAGGAAGCCCTGCTCCAGAGCCTGTCTCTTGGGGCCTCGGTGCTCGGGGCCGTGGCCACGTCTCTCACTGGGACTGGGGCTGGGCTGTGCAGGGCCCCGTGCAGGGCCCCGTGCAGGGTGCATATGGGAGGCCTCGGGAAGGAAGCGTCCCCTCCTGCCGTGATTCTCTCTGGACCTGCCAAGGCTCCGCCCTTTGCCAGTGATGGGAATTACTTGAGTTGTTAGATTTGAATGATAAAGCAAGGTTTGTTTTGGTTTATACTGTTACTCTTTATTTTTTTTATTTTTATTTTTTTTTTTTACTGTTACTCTTTAAATGCTGGGATTTATTATTTCATTCGGAGCTCTTTGCTTAGTGGTCAGAATCAAATCTGAAATTGAAAATGTAATTTTACTATTGAAATATGTTGAGGTTTGGGGGCAGCTTCTTATTACCCTTCTGATATTTGCCATTCATAGCGCAGAAATGCTGCCCGATTCACTGTGCTTCAAAAAATGGAACTATACTGTTCTGCCAGTTGATAGTTTATCATTAAATTTTGGGGAGTAAGACCTCTAAAAAGAATAAAACTATCTTTTCTGATCTGCCACGTTCCTCCCTACAGAACCAAATTCTCCTAAGGCCAAATGACAACAAGAATGAGACACTTCACAGTTGACGAGAGAGTTAAGGTGTGAGTCTTGCCTAGACACATTTTTGAGGATTGCCTATTGAATTAAGCAAAACTCACTGATAAAGAAAGAAAACTCGCTAGAAAATACAGTTCTTAAAAACTGTTGGGTTGATTGCTTTTTTGAAGAAAATATTTAGGTGAATTTGGAGAGTGAAAGGTAATTGGATTATTTTGCAAACGAATCAATATTTGCTGAACTTTGCTACATTGACAACACATTCCAGATGTTTAGCAGGAAATACACCAACAGTAGAAAGTTGCCTGCATTCTTCTTTGAAGGCCCCGCTAACTGTGGGTTTTATGGAGGATGTTGTGATTCTCAGCAGGGCCTGGCCGGTGTTAGACGCTCAGCAAAGAACCCAAAGCTGGTCTTCATCACGCCTCATGTGGCCTTGTCTGGAGGCACCGTGTGTATTAACTTGTTTGGTTCTTAAAGCCGCCCACCGTGGGTCTGCTCCGTGATCACCCCCACGTGCCCGATGAGGAGACAGGCACGGGGTATGGCTGGGAAGTGGGGAGCAGAGAGGGCTTAGCCTTTCCCCTTTTTTTTATTTCAAGTGATCTCATTTTACTCTCCCCATTCCCCACGGTTTTATTTCAGAAAAAACACAATGGAGAAAAACTGAAAGAATTCTACAATGAGCAGTCTTACACTCCCACCCCGATCCAGCAGTTATTTATGCTTTGCCATATTTGATTCACCTCTTTTTTCTAGATGCATATTTATTGTCATTGAATCATCTGAAAGTAGCTACCGGCAGCCTACCAAGTTCCCTAAGTAACTCAGAGCACACAGGTCGCAGGAATAGGATGGTCTCCGCAGAAATGCAGTGTCATCATCACACCTGAAACGTGGGCACGTGATTCACATACTAGCTAATAGTTTCCTCCATTTTCAAATCTCCCCATTTGTCTCAGGAATGTCTTCCATGGCATTTTTCCCTGAACCTGACCCAGGCGGGTTGCCTGGTGGCACTGGGGGTCATGGTCCTTAGCGTCTCTTAGGTCCCCCACTTGCCCTCCACAGGGTTGACTTTTTGGCTGCGTGTCACCTGGATTTTTCTGCCTCTTCGCTTACGGTGTCCACTTTTGTCTGTTGTCCCTGTGTACTCTAGAAACTAAAAGGAATGAGGCAGAGGCTGAGTCAGGCTCGAGATTTGGGAGATGACTTCATAGGAGCCAGTGAGAGCTGCATGTCGTCCCCTGGGGACCCGCGGCCGGTGGTGGTTCTTGGGTCCATCCTGCTGGCCGTACTTCTGGTGCCCGGTCCCCAGTGTCCTGCCAGGGGGAAGGCTCCAGACCTGGAGCCCCCGCGCCGGAGCCCCGGGGCAGTGCTGGCGGCGGAGAGGCCCGCTCCGGCCAGGGCCCTCCCTGTTCCGTTTCTGGTGGGGAGGCGTCCCCGGGCCA